TGTCGATTTTTATTGAATATATGTATTCAATATATAAATATACAGTATGTACATATGGGAAATAAACCTCTGTAGTTTGTTAATATTAAAGTGAAAACGAACAGAACTTCCAGTTCTGGGTGTTTAAATCCCAATATATATGTACAGTAAATATTAGACTTTGTAGCATAGCAAATCAATACTACAGTCAAAAAAGCTTTCTGTCATCCATCCTTCTCAGCTCAAACCGATAAAATTTCCTGTGTAACAACTTTAAGCATTTTCTCTTTCATCTCTAATACATTTGTGGAACCTTTTGGTATATTTTTATTTTTGTTGATGTAAATACCTTATTTTGGCTTTCAAATACATTTTTTGGTTAGCAGTCACAACTGATGGATATAAATTGTCAAGAAACAAGGAGAACATGATTTCTTGTGTGCAATATGTAGGAAATATGTTTTTATTCAATTCTTTCTGCTGCTGACAGAAACATCTGTAGACTTGTAAAATTGAATGTTGTGTGATTACAGTAAAATAAAAAGACTTGAAATTGAAAAAAAATATATAGATATATATTTGCAGTGACACAGTTTTATCCTTTCATGTGAATTAGTTATACTTAATGAGGATTAGTGAAGGTAAATAGAAGTATGGAAAAAATATTGGGTCTTGAAGCTACAGTGATGACATGCCCCATGCGGGCACATGGTGGACAATGGTAAAGGCAATGGTTCAACAACAGTGGGATAATCTTGAGGAAGAGATATGAAGCTAACTGTAGGGGCCTAGCTATAAAATCAAATAGATTATCCCACTGGCCAATGGCTAGCTATAGTATGTCTTTAAATGGACCCTCCTGCAAACTATATGAAGAAAGATGAGATGTAGGCTGCATCACTTATAGCAGGCCACTGTGCCTCTATTGTAGCTTGCACTGAGTTGCTCATTCAGCATACTAGTCTTGTAACATCTGTACATTTTTTCACAAAACAATCTCAGCTGATGTGTGTATTTGTGGGAGAAAAGGATGTCCTATGCTGCCTTGGACTCTAGTGACCCTCTATCCCATGCTGAAGAACAGTATCTGGCTCTATCACCTGCCCAGAATCCACTCTGCTGTGTCCTTTCTATTACCCTGGTGTCCCAGATTGTGTGCATCTCTTCCCTGTGCACACCACTCTGCTCATGGTACTCAGATCTCCCCTTACTGTACTGCAATGCTGCTCTGGGGACATGGGCCAGCTCACTTCCCATTTCCCACTATGACCCTGGGTCCTCCTCCCATTCTGTTTTCCTTCATATGTGCCAGGGGGTGGAGCTAAATCTGACCACTAATATAGTCAGAGTCCTCCTCTCTCATCTTCCCTGCAACCTGTCAGTGTTCGCGCGAGAGAGAAAATCTGTGATGAGGCAGTGAGGCTACCATGTTAAATGACTCTGCTCTTAAGGGGCCATTAGTCAGGGCTACACGTGACTTGACGCAGTAGGCTTTGTAGTAGCTACAACAGATTCAGATGAGCCTAGACATCTCTAATTCACATTTCATAATATGCCATTAATAGGGAAGCCTGTAAGCCTTTACATCTGGATGTACATGTGAAGTTTCCAGGATCTACTGTGGGTCCAGGAGTTAGGAATAGCAGTGCTCACGCAGATATTTTTATAGATGTATACAATAAATACTGCCATTGATGTGATTAGGTAACAGCCTAAGTGGCAGCACTCTCTTGGCTCTTGAACCAGGGTATGTAGCTGATTCCGTGTGTGCTTGTGTTTGATTAAGATTAGTCACGGTAATATGCACAGTGAAAACATTTTAAAATAAAGTTGCAGCTTTAATAACAATTTGGTTGGGCCAATATTCTGTTCCTGCTTTATTTGAGGATCTGTAGTATACCATTTTTCATGGTTCTTTTATATGGTTTCAGAATTAAATCTACACTGATTGTATCTTAATGTTTGATTTAATATTCCTGAGTCATACTGAGTGAAAGATCCTCCAGAGTCCTGGTTCTCTAGTCAGAGAGTGGTGTTGGTCATGGTGCCTGCCCAACAACATTGATCGCAATGTAGACCATCTTACTGTCTTGGGCAGATTGATCCTTTGCCTGACAGCACCCACAGAGCCCAAGCCACACAGCAGCCATGAAATAACAGGGAATTCTATCTTTCACTGACCACCAGTGTAACACAACATTCCTCCTACTAACTCCAAATGTAATGTGGTGGTTTTTTTCCTTTCAATGAACTACCAAATAAAGGACAGTATACTATCTACTCCTGTCCCTGCACTGTATTTGCTATGTTGTATTGGACACACTCTGACCTCTGTTCTTTTACGCTGTTCTCTATGTTGTCTAAACAATGGTTAAAATCACAGATATGAAGCACACATAGGGGCTAATTTACCAAAACTGGAGAGTACAACATTTGATGCAGCTTGCATAGACACCAATACGCTTCCAATTTCTTTTGGCAAACCTTATTTGAACAAGCTGAAGTTAGAAGCATATTGGTTATCATGCACAGCTGCACCAGATTTTGCACTCTCCAGATTTAGTAAAGCAACAGCATGTAAACCTCAATGAAACCCTTTACATACATAAATGATTTCATGATTGTGATGATAAAAGCGAATAAATGCTGATCCTGCAACTCTTCCAAGATCCAGGGTGATCAGTACTAGTAAATACAAATGAGCAAGGAATAATTGTTGCATTAAAAGTATATTTTAATGTAGATAGATAAGATAGCTCACCAAGATAAAAGATAAGCAGCTTTTTTGGAATATCCAAGGGGCAGGATGAAGAAACTCAGGGATTTCACAAAGACCACCCGGTCTTTGCCAGGAGACAATAACCTTATGTTGAGTTGCCCAGGCCAGTAGACAATGAGAAGAACGAGCTGACAAGTCCAGTAGCAGAGCTTTGGGTTTCAGCTCATGCATTGGATAGCTGTAACAACTCTGAAGCAATGCTACCTTAGCGCTGGCGCATTGTAGCTTTATTGATACAATGCATCCATTCTGCGCATTATCACCTATATATACGTGATCTAGGACTTCCAGGTAGGGGGCACGCACACATCCACCAACCCAACTGTGCTGTCATTCGATACAGCACATGCCAATCAGTTGGTCCTGGCTAATGATTCATGGTGATCGGCAGAGTGGGTAAACAACACAGATATCTCTATTGACAGCGGCGATGTGCCCCTTCTTGTTTCCCAGCCAAACAGAGAACAAAAATGCCACATTGCTTAATAAAAGCACACAGTTAATGCATTAACACTTTTTAGGGACACAGTTAACCCTTTTTTTGCTGCAGATGTTAACCACTTCCAACCCAGTGTCATTAAGACAGTGTCTGTGCATTTTATTAGCATTGATTACTGTATTAGTGTCACTGGTGATGTCAGTGCCAGATTGCCTGCCATAATGTCACAGCCCCACTATAAGTCACTGATCGCTGCCATTATATATATACACCATCATTTCCAAACACTATTTGTTTTGGGGTTTTTTACCAAAGACATGTAGCAGAATACATTTTAGCCTAAATGTATTAATTTTTTTTATATGTTTTATAGCAAAAAGTAAAACATATAGCTTTTCTCAATTCTTTTTTCATTGTATAGCACAAAAATAAAAAAAATCCAGTGGTGATCAAATCCCACCAAAAGAAAGCTCTATTTGTGTGAAAACATTTCTAAGGGTTATTGCACTTTTCACAATGCTCTTTGCCTTGTTAAAAAGAAAATATGGCAATCGCTCATGTATGTGTGACATTTTCATTTAATGGCAAATTTTTAATACCGTTCTTATTCGCATTTAATCTTTGTCCAGGCTATCAGGTCTGCCGAACTGAAAGTTGAACAAAGACTTGTATATCAATGGCTCATTAGCGATATTATTTAATTAGTTATGTAAATTGTCCATGTAACTTATTTCTATCTCTGTAAATAATTATCTTCATGTATTGGACTGAACCGTGTTGTTGTCCTTTGCAGCCAGCACTTTGTCTTATATTATTTATTTATTTGGGTTTGGCCTGCATATCTTCTTTCAATTCTATTTAAAGCTGTGACAGAACAAGCCTGAAGGCTGGTACCCTCCTTTTAGTCTAACATGTTACCTTTCTGTCAGGCAGCTTTCAATTATTGTGCTTCTGCGCATCCAAGTGCATCTTTGTCAAGAGATGCAAGATGGCAGTGACAAGCCTTTCTGGTACTTAAGGCTATATGCATGACAGTCTACCTATAACACTTGCAGAAAGCTGTGCACCTGAAGGACACCAGTAGCTTATGTACAGAAATCCAAAGCTTTTCTCTGTATAATGTGCTTCCTTCTTAGACCTTTATAGCATGTTTAATATTTAAAGCAAAATCAATTCAGCTTAGTTAACATAATAAAGCTACTAAAGGATTTTTGTAGAGTTGGGGATAGGCTTCACCACCACCATGGGTTTGAGGTGAACCTTGAGTGTTTAAGGTTCAGTCAAATTAATGCTGGAACTCACCCTTCCAAATTCTTTGCAACCAAAATGCATTGCCTGTTCTTTGAGCCTAGGTCTGCTGGTTTAGACAGGCCAAAAGGAGAGTTTTTGGATAAGCCAGCCCCCTCCCTATAAAGAGTCTAAGGTCAGAGCAGCCATATTGACAATGTGCTTTTGCTATGATAGGGAAAGCATAGTTAGTACTACTGACAACTTGGATAGGGAGAGATTATTGTAGTGCTTGTAAGCTTGTAAGTCTATTAAAGTAGCTGTAAATCCCTACTGAATGTTATGTAGGTATCAAAATGCTTTAATAAAGTATGCTTGAGTTCTTTGCAGTACTGTTGTACATTTTCTTATGTGCCCTGCCTGTGTACACAGTTCTGTACACACAATTCTCTGTTTAAAGACAAATATACTGTATGTTCACAAGAACTGAGTGATGACTAGCTCTTCAGCTGTCAAAATAACACCCTGGTTACTTTTTCTATACTTTTCTGTCTTTTCTCTCTCTCTGTTTTATCTCAGAGTCACTTAGGGCTAGTTCACACTACATGGATTTCAGTTGCTTTTTTTCTGCATCCAAAATGCACAGAAAGTAGGTTATATGGTTGTCAATGTCATAGTTCACATCAGTGCTTGCAGTTGTTCCAGTGCATTCCAATTGCAGAAAAAAAAGCAGAACATGCTGCATTTTTTCTGCACAGAACTGTACTGGAACTTGGTAAAATGCATCAAAAATGCACCGGAACGCTCTGGAATGCACCAAACTGCACCAAAAACCGCACTGGAATGCACGTCCCTCTTTAAATTGAAGAAAAAGAGAGAGGGGAAAAAATGAACTGGAATGCATAAAAAACGCACTGGAATGTGTCACAAATGCATCAAAAACACACCAGAATGCCAAAAACACGTCAAAAATGCGCATGCAAAAAGGCATCTGGAACACATCTGGACTGTGTTTCTATAGTGTGAACTGGTTCACATTAGTTGCTATGGTGCATCACACTGTTCATGTTTTTAAAAAAACAAACATTTTGAAATGTTACACAGTGACATTTCATAGAGTTGTATCACCTGACGTGTGGTGACCTGTGCTGTGCTGGAAAAAAGTACTGAACACAGTACTTTTTTCAGCCCACACTCCTCCACAATGCTATAGTGTGAACCATCCACACCAGGGACAAGGTATTTTGTCTTGTCTTGAGGTGGAGGTGCAGTGGGATTACATTGGAATAGCTGCCCAATGCAGCCGTACCGCACCTGTTGTGAATGGACCCTTAAGAGAAAAATGGCCAGCAGCAGGGTGGCATGTAAATAAAAAGTATTAAAATTTCAAGCATGTAATAAAACAATTTTGGTGGTTCAGAATATGCTATTGTGTAGCTGTCAGGCCAAGAACTGTTCACTAATTCAGGGGTCTCCAAACTTTTCATTCAAAGGGCCAGTTCATTGTACCTCAGACTTAAGGGGGCCAGATTGTGGTCAGTAGGAGTAGAAAATGTACTGGACCCAGCATCAGTGAGAATAAACATGGCCTCAGGGTTGGTGGTCAGTAAAAGGAAGAGTACTGCCCCATCATTGGTATTAGTGGAAGGAATAGTAAACCATCATTGGTATCAGTGGAAGAAATAATGCACCATTGTTGGTGTCAGTGGAAGGAATAGTGCCTCATATCATTGGAAGGAATAGTGCCCCATCATTGGTATCAGTGGAAGAAATAGTGCACCACTGATGGTGTCAGTGGGAGGAATAGTGCCTTGTATCATTCAGAGGAATAGTGCCCCAAGGGCAGGTTCAAGGCTGGCAAAGGACCGCATACGGTCCCTGCTTGACAAATGAAAATCCTAAGTATCTGAAACCCCTTGTGAGACTTCGCTTCCTGTCACTAGTGATCACAGATGTTGTTGAACAGGTGGAGTTACTTCAGTGATAGTAGTGGTCTGATGTCAACAGACCCAAAAGACTGCCTTTCTTCACAAGCACCACAGAGGGTCAGTTGCTCAGCACTGCCACTATTTTTTTCAGTGAATACAAGGTCGCTGAATGGACAAGGTGGAGAGGGTGGGGTGATGAAAGAACAATCTCCACCATCCGATCAGAGAATGCCTTTTTTAATTGAGAACAATAACAAGATGTTTTGTGAATTATGACTGCTGAGCAAGTGACCCCCTGTAGTTACTATGCAGAAGGACAGCTGCTCAGCACTGGACTGCAAAGACTGTTCCATCAACTATTATAGTGATTTGCAGCCTCCACAGGGATTGCTTAAGTAGGAAATATTCATACTTACAATGGTCAAAGCAAGACCAAATGTAACTATGCAATAGAATCCAAACCTAAACTTCAGCTTTAAATTGATCCATGTGTCCCTGAGGAGACCCTTGGATATTAGGCTTGGGTATATACTGAGTATTATCTCCTTTTAATACAGACTTGAACAATAACAAGATGTTTTGTGAATTATGACTGCTGAGCAAGTGACCCCCTGTAGTTACTATGCAGAAGGACAGCTGCTCAGCACTGGACTGCAAAGACTGTTCCATCAACTATTATAGTGATTTGCAGCCTCCACAGGGATTGCTTAAGTAGGAAATATTCATACTTACAATGGTCAAAGCAAGACCAAATGTAACTATGCAATAGAATCCAAACCTAAACTTCAGCTTTAAATTGATCCATGTGTCCCTGAGGAGACCCTTGGATATTAGGCTTGGGTATATACTGAGTATTATCTCCTTTTAATACAGACTTTGGCATTTTACAGTTGAATTACAGGAAGTGGACTCAATATGGACTTGGGCAAAATTTTAGGCCTCATGTACAGCTTGGTTCTAGGTTCTAAGGGGGCGCTACAGGAACACAGGTTTTGATTTAATTAGTAACAAGGTACTTGCAGGCATCACAAAGCACAGGCACTGAACAGTGTTGGTATTGGAAACAACTGAGATTAGGTTCTGTTCAAATTAAGCAAGGCTGTCTGTAGATACCCAGATCCCTTCACAGCCTCTATCCCAACACAATGCTTGAAGATGAGTCTGTTAGGTCTACCCTTAGAAGGCAACAACAAGAGAAAAAAAATTAGAAGAACTCATTGTCATGCACAAACTCTCTGAAACTTTTTAGAACTTTAATGTACTACCTGATCCAAATTAAAAGTGTTAGCTATGTACACTGTATAAGTCATACCAGTTTATTGCAGGAGAAACAGTAGCTGGTCCAGGGGTTTTAGATGACAGACAGAAGTGTCCCTGCTCATTCCTTGGAAGACCTTTGTCTATCTAAGTTAAGTCTTGGTGAGGTACATGTTTCGACATGAAACTAACTTCCCATTAACAATTTTTTAGGCTACACTGCAAGCAGCCTCTAGTGATCCTCCTTCTGCTTAAAATAATTGCTGTCATGGAACAATAGTTTGCCTTAAGGTTCAGAGCAAATGCAGTGACAAATACTGTATATTGTATAATGTTTTTAACCTCTGTGCATCTATATATAAATACTATTTATAGTAGTTAAATCCAATAAAAAACATAATTTAGGTGAATTAAGTTATTTTCTTAGACAATTTATGTATATTTGTATCTTCTGATGGGTAATGTGCCTGAAGCTTTTTGATAATAGCTACCATAGACAAACAATTCTGAAAATAAAGCAAAAATACAAATAAAGGATCAAAGAATTAAAAGACATTCAGGAAAATGTATGAACCAGAGGACATGTACCTCCACAGACAATAATATAAAAGCCTAAAAAAATTGGTTTAAGCAAATGGGCTGCTTGACTCCTGAGATTTGTCCAGCCCTGTAAATGTAAAACATGCAGGTAGAATAAGATTTGCAAAGACAGCTGCTTCAGATGAGGTTCTTGAATTTTAGCTGTAATATTACAAAGCATCACCTGTTAGTGAGCACAGGTTAGAGAAACAGAATCAAAGAAAACTTCTGTAAGCATTGTCAGACATAATATAACAGATCACCCTGTGACTGTCAATCAAGAATGAACACATGAAAATTCATGAAACTACATATCTGCAGGGCTCATGAGGGTCATACATTGTCTGAGTTCCTAGTATTACACTTGTATAGGAGAAACTCAATAAGGTATAAATGCAAATCAAGGTCAGCCACTATTTCAAAGACATGAAAACAATATCACAGTTTAACTTTATTTCCTTCTGTTAAAATATTCACAATTGAAAAGACAGTCTATGTCCAATTACTTGAAGACCCATCAGATGTCTAGAGTTTGGGCCTCGGGCATAAAACAGACAATGGATGTATGATCAATTTAAAACACTTGAGAGAAAATGTTTGCTTCCCATAACAGAAAAGCTAACAAGGCTGTATTTGTTGCTGTGTAAATTATTTAAAGACAAGTTTAACACTGTTACCACCTATGAAAGACTATATGATATTTTAATATATTTCAGTAATTTTAAATGTAAATTCCAAAGGTTTGCAGAATTCTAAAAGTGACCATAAACTTCAAAAGACAGTGTGATGTGCAAGCTAACCTGCCCATTCCATCATTGCCCCAGATTGTTTTTCAAAGGGTGCTTCAATGTACTGTAATATTCTCAATCAATCCATTGGTTATTTAATGGCTATGGAATCTTTAAAGCCCCCCAGGCAACATTTAGTGTAATTCTATGACCACAAAACAGTAAAGATGAAAACAATGAGCACTCTGAAATCTTCTTGCTCTAGTCCATAACTTCACATGTCTGAACCTGCATCCACTGATATTTAAAAATTCTCCAATGTATTTTGATTTACTCAAGCAAGATGTACCACGTGTTACCAAAGCAGATATCCCATGGGGTAGAAGATCTGTTTATCCAGTACACATATGCGTACACATGCTGTTTGTAAGAACAGTGCTTAGCTTTTAAAATGATATTTATAGCAGTGGGCAGTTGACTAAAAAAAGATCACTATTCATAGACTTTTACAACTAAAATGGAAGGCCTAGCTAACTTCATGGGTCACTATATGGACAGATAATTTTCCATCCAGACCTAAACTGCATGTACCAAATTACCTGTTATTAATGTAATTAACATTTTGTTTTTTAGCAAAGCACTGTATTGGATACTTGAACATTTACATACCAAGGATTCTATTTATACATTAATTCACACAAGTATGACAAAACATTCATCCAGGATTCAAAAATATTAATTTTAACCATATTCAAAAAATTATGAATCTTGGGTGAAAGCTGTGTGAATTTTGTATGAATACATTTATAAATAGATCCCCTACATCAGTTGAAAATAGCTGTTGGCTGACAATGTTCCAGCACACTGGGAAAGTATTCAACCAATTCAACTGAATATTATTCAAAAATAGATTCTTGCAATCATTGCTGTATACATTTGTACAGATTAGGAGACCCTAACATTTTAATTTTACTGGAAAATGTCTTATAGTCTTACTTTAATAATACATGTCATAAACAGAGTGTAATTATGTGAAGACTGTATTTTATCAAGTACGAGGGAACTGTATGGATGACTATTATTACTAAGGAATGGAAAATCAGCATTACTTAGCCCAACACAGTATTATTTTTGAGTTAACTAAGTTGCCAAAAGGACAAACATGCTCAGATGTTCATAGCTGTTTTTCAGCAATGTCTTGATATAATTCTGCACATCAATAACAGAATATACTGTAATTGATAAATTGAGAGAAGTTTTATCATTTATCAGTGTCAGAATATAATGGCTTGTATTATTCCCATCTACTCTGGGAGGTGATTAAGGCACTGACAGTAGAAGGTGTTGCAAGAAATATTACATATATCATAATACCATCTGCCAAAATTTATAACGTACCAATTTTAAATTACTG